TTTACATGTTAACAAAATCATAGGGTTGGGGAGGTGGCGGGGCTTGTTAAAACACAGACTCTGACCAAACACTGGCCAACACTCAGAGCTGATGATAAATGTAGACAAATTTAAGACCTCCAGCCCTTCACCAAACACACATGCACACACATGCACATGTACATATACTCTTGCAGAAAATAACTTAAATACATACAGAAAAATTAATCACTTAAGTCCCTACATAGAGCTTCTTTACCTAGACCCCTTTCACAGTTTTCAGACCTATTAATGAAAAACTTTATGAACCTAGAAACAAATTCAATGCATTCTTCTACTTTTTTGTATCATTTCCCCATACGACTTTGGAAAATCTACAGTGATTCTAGACTGAGAAGCTAATTACTCAAGTCTAAAGAAATCTCTAAGGCTGAGCTTGGAGGAGCAGTGTCGCTAGAAGACAGTTCTACGGGTTCCACCTGTTAGTTGATTTCTCCTTTACTCTCTGCCTTCACATAAATAGCTGGGGATGAGGAAAAAATCACAGGTAACGAAGAATCAACAAACGACAGCGAGACTCAGACTTCCTGGCTTTCCACTCTTCAGTCTGGAATTTCACAGCTATTTCTAACCAAAAGAGTAACTCTGCACAGAGCTGCCAGCACCAGTGTGGATACCCTCTGCTGGAATCTCTTTCCCTCCACATACGCCCTACTGTTAGCTTCCCTAGTTTTTGAGTTCACTGCCTCAACTAATTCCTGAGGTCTGTACTGAACAACGGACAATTGATAAGTCTCTCTGCAAACTCACACCCCACTCCCCCCTCAGTGTGTCCCTCTCCACTGATTTTCTCTCCTCTGAGCTCCCCCAGCACTGACAGTTTTATTTGCCTGATTTGTATACATCCTGTGTATATGATACTGTGAATGGCTGTGGAAAGTGCTTCAGGCAAGCCCTGTGCAGTGCATGCACCATACCAGGCACACATCATTAGATCTTCAAAACCTGGATTGACTTAGGCGTGGTTCCCAATGCCAGCCCTCATTCCGCCAAAAGAAAACAAGCACAGGGGGATTATAAAAGAGTGTGGTAGGTACTCCCCAAGCCAACGAGCACACACTCTCCCCAGGGACCCGTGGCACCCTGGGCACTCTCCACTACTGGAATGAGGCACGCTGGCTGAAGACACAGGGCAGGGTGGCACACTAACAGAATCCTGGGTATGCCACAGGCTTGTCCCACTCCAATCAAACACCAGATGGTGTGAGCCAGCCCTCTCAGGCCACCAAGTTTAGTGCTGTGCTAACACATTACCTGGCAGTGACCAGCTTTCATCTGGAACCCATTCCCCTACCTCCCAAACTAAATCCGCAGGCCTGAGGTTTCTAAGTGACAGGAACGCAAGGCCAACGTGGAGCACCGACTTAGAATCATCAGCTACACTGCTATGCACATAAACTGGGCAAAACAGAAGTAAGTGGTCATTATCGAGGCTGAAGAAATCCCAGATTCTGAAATCTGTTTGCCTCGACAGCAAACATTTTCTCCATCGTAGTTCAGTTTTCTGTGAGTATGTGACACTTTTTTATTTTTACTGTGAAATGTATCATGTAAACAAAAGACTATGATTAAATATATGGGGTCTGGCACAAATAACACCCCTATTTATTACAAAATCTTTTATTATAAAATCATAAGCATGTAATTCTGTAACATAACAATATCACACTCAAGCACACCATATGACATTTTAGGTGAAATGTTCAAATTAAAACTATTAGTTATTACACTTATATTATTACCACCCCCTCAACCACACTCACGCAGGTGTTACTTCTGCCAACCCTGTATATCAGTTTAAAGAAACACTAAGATGAACATTCAGGGACCTACCCAGGCTAAGAATCATGGTAACATTCCCAGTACTTAGAAGTTTCTGTGTGCTCTTTCCTCATTACACCCATCTCCATCCCCCAGTGATAACCATTCTCCTGAATTCAGCATTAATTACTCTCTTCTATTTTTTATAGTTTTACTAACTATAAGTCACATTCATAAAAAACATATATGATCTAATTTTACATTTTTAAACTTTATATAAATTACATCATATTGTATGTTTTTTTTCTCTGACTTGCTTCTCCTGTTCAATGTTATGTTTCCGAGATTCTACCATATTAATATAACTATCATTCTCTCATTTTCACAAGGGTCAGTACTTTATTATAGGGAGGACTATACAACAATTTTGATGTTAACTCTTTCTTTAATCAACCAGACCCACTGACTATGTACTAACAGTCTGTCTGCAAATACATTTATGCCATGTGAATTCTTGGTGGCAAGCCCACGCTGGTTTTCATGTGGCAGACCAGATGATAAAATAACTAAAACTGTTTCACTCAATTATTCTTTTTTTTTTTAAGATTTTTATTTTTAGAGAGAGGGAAAGGGAGGAAGAGAGGGAGAGACATCAATGTGAGAGAGAAATATTGATTGGTTACCTCTTGCACGCCCCCAACCAGGGACCTGGCCAGCAATCCAAGCACGTGCCCTGACTGGGAATCAAACCGGTGACCTTTTGGTTCACAGGTTGGCAGAGCCTCAATCCACCGAGCCACACCAGCCAGGGCTCACTCAATTATTCTTAAGGAGTTGGCAAGATCTCACTGAGAGATGGAGCTGTGAGGCTTTGATCGGCAACCAAAAGGTGCCTTTGCTAGATGACCTTGGGTAGATGAACCCCTAAGATAAAACCCTTACATGGTTCCAGTTCTATGGCTTAATAACACAGTGGAAAAGGAGAGGAAAAGGCTGCTTTGTCATTGCAATCTTCACCTTCACTGGCATGTCAGAGCACCTTTGATCATGGCAAATAACACCCAAGTCCAAGAAAAACCTACCCTTCAGACAGTGAAAGATAAATATTTAGTCTGGGAGGCAGCAGACAGAAGCCCATCATTCTCTCTGCCCCGGCACCCAAGGACAGCAGAGGATTGTCCTTGAATCCTGAAGGTTTGATTCATCACCCTCTTAACTGATGTGAATGCAGCAGTAATGCCACATTTCTCAGGTTAGGGGAGTGGGTGGAGGGGTGCAAGAGACAGTCTCCAGAGCAAAGAAACCCCCACCACTTTCCCTGATCACTCCCAGTGTTCAAGACCTGAGAAAACTGAGGCACCAAGAGGCTTAGTGACTTGTCCAGCATTACACAGCAAGCTGTACTGGGAGTACTCTTATGGAGTCGACTGCTCTGCTACCACCTGCGTGTGCACACTGACCAGCGGCAACAGCGAAAGGGTTCTTAGGGACACAGAAGATACTACCTTCAAGTGATACTTTCAAAAGCGTTTGCTGCTAAATGGCAGCAGGTTCCGTGTGACCACAAAATAAACACTTAGATGGCCGAGGCCTGTGAAAACTTGAGGCCATGCATGAAAAAGCTGCAGTGACCAGGTGGATGGAGGAGGACTCCCATGTGGTTTAAAGAGCTGGAAGGTACTTTGCCCACCAACAATTAACTAGCACTGGATGTGTACTGTGTGTCATGGCAAAAATGCATGCGATTTTCTGTCAAAGTCTGGCTGCTGCTTTAGCAGTCACCAATCCTCAACACAAACAACAACAAACAAGGGCTATCGGCCTACTGTGGATGGATTTCTAGGTCTTTCAACTAGAGAACTTCAGAGAGCAATAAATAGGTCAAGAACTGAAGTCCATACTTGTTAAAAGCTGAACTCTGCCTTCCAGCTCCAAATAAGTATCAGTTGCTTGACACAAACTTTCCAAGTCAGCTAAAGGCCAAGAGGGTGGTTAGTGCAAAGCAAAGAAGCATCGTTCTCAGAGAGTGAAGTGCTCAGGTGTCCCTCTTTGCCAGCCACTCGCCGCTGGAGACATTCTGTTTTCTCTAGTTCTGGGTGTCTATCATTCCTTGGCGGACACAGACTTGTCAGGTACAGTGTCAGTCCTTATGCTGTGCCACTTGACTATTCGTCCTGACCTGTAAGTCACCCAGCAAGTCACAGAAACGGGCAACTGGTCTTTAGAGTGCAGGGTGACACCTTTGCAGAGGCTTGGAGAAAAGACAACAGGGAAACAACACCTCTAATGATGCCACAGACAAAAGATCCAAACACCCAACCCCCTATTGCTTCAGACACCGAAACCACAAATCCTCAGAACAACCAGATCCTGAGAGGCTGACGGATGTCCTTGGAGGAACCCTTCCAGAGGCTGTGGGTATCGGTTGAGGTCATACTGTTTCTCCAAGCGTTTTTCTCTACTCCCTGGGTTTTGTTTGGGAAGATTTTACCAATTATTCACCTACTCTCCACAGATTAACAAAATTTTACAAAATTCATTCATATGATTCTTCTCCTTAAAATGCCTGGGACTTTTATACATTGTAATAAACCATAAAAACAGGTTCCCAACCCCCTCCCCATCTCCCTAATACACTTAAAACTACTCTCCTGCTTGGGAATTCAGTTGCCACAAAAATAAGGTTGCACCATGAACACAGGCGTAAGATGGGAACATCAGTAAATAAAATGAAGTCACCGGTGATACATATAACATATATAATACAACTCAGACTCTGAGTACGGAGGTCTTAGCCAACATTCCAGAGAGAACCATGGATCAGCCCCCAAAGTAGAAACATTCAGGCAGAAAACATCGCATTCAGAGAAGCAGTGCACTGTGCATTTCTGTGTGTATCCTGGAAGGGCAGCTGTGGCCGCTGCACCTGATGCATAGAAAGCAGTCCAGTTCTGTTCAGCAGTTCCTCTTACCCAAACAACCAACCCAGCCAGTCCCGATCTTTGACAAGCAACACCTGACCCTTCCGAGAATCCCAAATTTGGTATTCCTCTCTGGGCCTCCTTTGCACACTGAGTCAGTTATAAGCTCTCTGGAAATTTCCACCAGTTTCTAACATAAATTGTTCCTCGCCACTTGCCAGCATGTTTTCAATGGCTCTGAGCATCTTCCAGGCTCCTCCTCATCCACAGGGGTCTTACCGGGATCTCCCTCCGAAGCAGTTTGTGCTGGGGGGCTGGTGCCGGTTCTCTGAAGTGACAGCTGTCCCGCTGGATTCTCTCGAACATGGCTGTGATCCTGGAAAGGGGGTCCGTCACAAGAACAGACAAACGTTGAAAAGCTTGGCCCTTGCTTGAGACGGGACTACGGGAACAGAGCTCACCTGTGTATTAGTGACCCACTGTGGGGGGGACACAGACAGTCAAGCAAGCAGCACGAGAAGGAACTGGCACCGCGGCCAAGTGAGATCTGATCAGGGCTGCAAATCAGAGGGGCTCAAACCTGGGAAACAGCTCTTCTTCTCTAAGACCTTCAGGAATGTCTAAGGCACTTACAAGCTTGTTGCCTTCCACATTACATGAACCTCAGCCAACCACATGGCACGGAGAACGATGCTAACCACGCAAAGTTGGGGGAAGGAATTGGGGCATTTCTTCATATCACAACTCGAGAGCTTTTAAAAAGCCAAATCAGACTCAATTGAAATCAAATTATGATCCAGTTCTGCTAAAAACCTTTTGACAGCTTCCTGCTTCTTAGGATGGGGTTCAAAATCCTTATGAAGGCCTTCAAGGCTGTGTGATCTGAGCCGACCTGCCTCTGTGGGCTCACCTCCCACCACTCTCCTTGCTCCCCACATCCCAGCCATGCTCCTACCACAGGCCAAGCTCACTCCCACCTCAGAGCCTTTGCACATGGGACCCTCCACCTCTAACTCAGCCACCCCTTGACCTACCTACACTCCCACCTTAGCCTGTCTAAACTCCTTATACTCCCGCAGGTATCAGCTTCCCCAAAGAAATTTTCTCTGCCCCCTCCAATTTAGAGGAGACCCCCTAAAGTACATGAATCTCACACCACCCACTACCTTTCCCTTATAGCTTTTATCGCCATTATAGTTACACAATTATTTGTGTGTTTACTTGTTTGATGATAAGCATCCCCTGCCCCCACCAACTAAGTTATAACCTCCTAGGAGGAGACACCATGTGAATTTTGCCCCTGCCATCTCGCTAGCACTTGGTCAAAGATCTAGCACATACTCAGTGCTCAGTTATCTATACAGGTGCTGTTTTTCTCCATGCACCAAAAGTACCCAAGCACCATCCAGTCCAGTTGAGGGAGGAATCTCAAGTTAAGGCCCCACCATTCACTGAGTGCCCTTGAATTAGAATTCAAATCTCACTCCCTTGAAGCTATAGAAAGCCTGTTTCGGGCCTGGAAAGTACCTTAGTTACATCACATTTAACAAGAAAAATTATGGAGAAACCCAACCCATCTCAGACTTCATGAAATAATTTCCTGCTAGATCCAAAGGTGACTAATTTGAGACTAGATCAGAAAACAAACAGCCCACATTCAGGACATAGCGGGAAACACTCCAAATTCCCTGCTTCTGTATATATTTTGCCAGTACGAATCTCTTAAGACACAGAGTCCCCTTTCCCAACCAATACCATCTCATAAAAGACACCTTCAAGCTCCCTAGGAGGGTTAACTGTACTGAGATGAAGAAAAATGGGCCATGTAACATTAAATAAAGACATTTTATTTTCCAAAGCCCGTGTGGGATGAAAAGTTGTTTTTCTCTGCTCTCAAACCAAGCAACGCTTACAAAGACTTGACATTTACTTTGGTCCTTTATCAGAAAGCTGTCCTTGTAAAATCATGTCATGATTTTGATCATGCTATGGATGCTAAAAAGAATCAAGGGTAGCTATGGCCAGGGCTGGCTGAGCCATACCCAAACCCAGGGACCTGGGACAGAACCAAACCCTAGACACCTCCTCCACTCCCCACCCCACCCCTGGGAGCAGGGCAGCACTCACCGTCTGTCACGGCACTGCCATTAGGCACGCTTCCCAGATCAACAGTTGGCCCGTCCAGGAAAATTGTCAGCTCACCACCCGAGACAACACCGCCTTTGTTCTCCGTCTGCAGGTTCAGGGTCAGCTGTGTGTTCTCCACTGTTGGACACAAAAGGCAACATGGATGGAAGAAAGCAAATGTGCCTGGAGTTAAGACTTTGTAAGTTATGAGCTCTCACTTTGCCTACTCTGACTCCCCTGGCAACGTTTTTCTGCATCTTCAAATCTGTCTTATGGCATAGAAAAAAGAAAGGGAAGGAATATTTGTCCAATTGTCATCACTGTTGTATCAGGCTGATAAGGAAGGCTGTACTCTTCTAAACATTTTAGCTTATTAGATTAACTACCTAACATCTACATTACTTATTTGTTTGCTTATACATGCGGGACCATAAACAAATAGAGATACTGATGGCACACGGAGGAGGAAATAGTTCTGCCAAGCAGCATCCCCCTACCCATATAAAAAATAGTGGCAAAAAGAAAAGAAACAGGTTAGGGGACCCTGGGGAAATGTCGTCAGGAGTCATCTCCAGATGAAGTATATCAGGGACTTATTCTTTTCTTACTTGTGTTATAAAGTGCTGTTGTTTTCAAACCTGAAAATGTTTCATTTTGAAATAAGGAAAAAGTTTTTAAGTAACAAAACTTCAATATAAGAGAGTCAGCCGCAGAGTCGCATGGCCCTAGGTTCGTGCCAGAAGGAGAGACCGGTCAAGCCCTGGCTCTGCAACTACGGCGGGAAGGCAGCTCAGATTCCCACAGTCCCCAGAACACCAGGTCAAGTCAGCCCCGTGGGCTGGGCGAGCAAGAAGAGCTGGGGAACCACAGCAGGAAAACAGCACAAACCGGCACCAGGCAGAAGCCCCACACCCTAGGTGGGCTGGAAACTGCCACACACACACACATCCCTGACTCCCACCACCAAGCCTGGCCACACCAATAGCTTCCAGCCAGTCACTGCTCGGGGGCTGTTACCTCCAGTTTAGGGCTGTTCAATAGTCACCGAGAGAGCAGCGTTTATGAGGATTTCCAAAGGGTGTGCGGCCCTTCCATGCCTCTCCCCACCTTACAAAGCCAGATCAGGAAAGTGCCACACACTCCAACCTCCCTCCCCACCTACCACTTAGTTTTATCTCTTAGTTGTGACTGTACTGTTATAAGCTGTCTCACTGGATTTCTAGAACAAGGCAAGCAAGCACTTCCTAGAAACAACCTCCCCACATAGAAAAGCCTGCCCCAAATCTCTCTAAGAAACAGACACAACCCTTTAAACTTAGCAAAAAAATTTTTTTAAAAGTCTAGATCAATTCAATGATCTATTATAATAAAGTAGAAACCGGTTACCCTTCAGACTTTTAAGTTCTCCTAAGCATTGCTCCCCGCCCTTAACCTCTCTTCCCTATAAAGGATCTTTCCAAATCTTTTTGAGTCTGTTGCTATTTTCAAGTCAGTTTCACTGAGGGGCCTAGTGAGTTCCAAATATTTCTATAAAATAACAGATAACCTAAAAACAAGTTCCTCCAAAGTCTACGAGTGGTTGGGGTAGAGGGAGAACTGAGGCCTGACGACCACCAGCGCCACTCGCCAGCCCTGGTCCAGCCTTCAGAGGACTGCGGCCCAGCCAAAAACGGACGGCAACCTCATGAGAGATCCCAGGCCTGACTGCCCAGAAAAGCCACTCCCAAATCCTGACCCACTGAAACCGTGAGATAATAAATGTTTATTACTGTTTCAAAAAAAGAAAGTCAAGGAGTGGCTCCCTACTCTGTCATTCTGAGATCCTGTGCCGAAGTCCCGAGCAGGGAGTACAGCACAGAGATGGAGGGCAGGTGCCAGCCAGGCAGACTGGGCTCGACCTCAGTCCTACTACCCAGTAGCTGTGCAGCACGACACAAATGACTTCATATGATCACCAGTCTCCCTAGAGAACAGGGAGTGGGAAGAGTACATTTTTCTGAAGACACTTGTAAAGAAACAAACAGCACCCAGGAAGGTCCTAATACACTGTCATTTTTATTATCTCCCTGTTGAATTCTCTGTTTTTAGGCTGAAGAGTCCCAATTTCTCTTGGTCTACCTTGTTCATTCTATAGTCAATCACTCTTCTTTTGACCTTTCTGAGACTTTTTCAGGTTGTGACAACAAACTCTACAAAATCTTTCCAGGAAAGCTACATAACCATCACAGGGACAAACCATTACATGGCAACTGTCCTGGAGTCTTCAAATAGTCAGTATCAGCCCTGGCTGGGTAGCTCCATTGGTTAGTTAGAGCATCATCCCTGTATGCCAAGGTTGCGGGTTAGATCCCCAGTCAGGGCACATACAAGAATCAATGAATGCATGAATAAGTAGGAAAGAAAAAAAAAAACAATGTTTCTCTCTCTCTCTTTTTAAAAATACTTAAAAAATTATTAAAGTGTTATTAATACATTTTGTTCTTTAGAAATGGACAGGAAAGAGATTCTCCTAGATTTAAGGAAACATAACTCAAATGCTATGCGTGAATTTTGACTAACCCTGGGCTTCAAAAAAATAGTCTTGGGGAAATCTGCATCCAGACTGGATATTAAATAACCTCTGAAATTACTGTTAATTTTCTTAGGTTCCATAATGGTACTATGCTTTTACATATAAATGTTCTTTTTCTTGTGAGATTCAAGAGAAGATTAGGATGGTATCAGCACTTAGTCTTAAATGGATTTATAGGAGAACAGGCTGAAGTTTCTAAGACTAAAGTGCCATGATATCTGCAATTTACCTTCACACGGTTCAGAGGAAAATGCCCACACCCACGGGCTCACACATGCTGGTTAAAAAAATGAGGCAAAATGTTAAAAAGGGTCGGGCCTAAGTGGAGGGAGGGCATCTGGGTGTTCATTGTGTTACTCTTTCCATTCTTTTTTTTTTGTATGTTTGAAAATTTCATAATAAAAAGTTGGAAAAAGGTTTTCATTTAATTGGCAAGGCTATTAAAAAATTAAACCTCTGAGAACAGAACACCCCATTATTCTCTTTTAAAAAAAGAGCTGAGCCAGGGGAGCCCTACAATGCATAATGGGACTAAAGACGCCATTAGCTAATTGAGTGACAGACTTGAGCATACAGGGGAGGCTGAAAGGAGTAAGTGTGGCTGGAAAACATATACTGGAATCTTAGTTAAAAATAGCAGCATTAGGCACCTTGCCTCTGGGGCCCTCAAGTTTCACTACAGCCAACGCCGACAACTCTACAAAGGGCCTTTCTCTGCAAGCATGTCTTCCTACTGCCTTTTGAGGCACTGCTCAGAAATCAAGACACCAGTGAAAAATTGGGTGTAGTACGTTTATTTCCGTAACTAGAATCAGATTTAGCAGAGGAGCTCACCAGCTACTCCCAGCCTCACCCAGTCCTGCTCTATCTGCAGTCCTGCAGTGTTAAGCATCTAGTGTTCTAGTCATGGAGAGTCAGCAGAAACAAAACAGACAAAAAAAATCTGTGCTCCTGAGTGTTAATTTCTAGTTGAGAGAAACAGGCGATAAGCAATGGGTTTTTCTTTTTTAAGTAAATGGTGTAATCTGCTGGGAGGTTGCAAATGTAGTAGAAAAAAAAATGAAACAAGGCAAGAAGGTGGAGAGTGCCAGAGGTGGGAGGAGGGTTTGGGGTGATGAGAAAATCTTGCTGGGAAGATGACAACTGAGCAGATTTAAAGAAGGATGAGGCAGGGGAGCCATATCAGTATCTAGAAGAAGAAGAGTCTAGGCAGAGAGAAGGAAGCAGAGGCCGGAAGTGAGAGCAGGCCTAGCAGGTGTGAGGAATGGCAGGGGGGCCGGTGTGGCTGGAGGGAACAAAGGAAGACAGGAGCAGGAGGTGAGGACAGTCAGTAACTAGAGCCCACAAGGAAGACCTCGGAGCCCTGCCAGGGTCTGTAATGTTTACTCTGTGTGAGATCGGAACCCATTAGAGGGTTTTGAGCAAGGAAGGGACGTGGCTCCCATAGTAATACAATCACTCCAGCTGCGGGTGAAGCAAAGGCTGAAGCAGACAAGGCCAGGTAGGAGGTGACTGCAATATTCCAAATAGGAGCAGATGGTGGCTTGGACCAAGGCAATGGCAGTGTCTTCCGGGAACAGGGTGCCCAAGGGAGACTCTACCTTGGTTTCCTTCCTATTACGTGTTAATAAAAAGCCATGACTCCCACCCAGCACATCAGCTAGGCCTCAAAGGCCTACCAGTCTTTTGGAATCAAAGATTTAAGCAAATCATAGGCAGGGGCTGAAAAAAGAGCTAACTTATAGCATGGCTAGAGGAAGTCAGATTCAATTACAACCAAATGGAACGTATATAATGAAAATATTCCGCTGCCAAGAGAGTTTAGTTCCACCAAGAAAGCCAAAGTCCTGAGCTCATGCTAACTTCAGCAATCAGCAAACACTCTTCTTTGGTTATGGGACTGTGCCCCTCTGTTCTGTTCAAAGTACCCAATGGTAACCAATACGCTGCAATGCTACTTTACGGAGGTCAACAGACAGCGGTAGGGCTGGATGGATGTTAGAATCCAGGGGGAAAGAATTTGGAAAATCTTAAGGACCGTGCCAGGAGATCCCTTCAAAAGCTGGCATACCAAGAGAGACAAACAGACATTAGGTGTCTCCTGATGGAATCACACACCACTTCATCAAAAAGGAAAAAAAGAGAGAGAGAAAGAGAACCTTGATCTGATGATCAAGCCTCTAGATCTACCCATGAGTTTATAGGAAACACAGAGGGACAGAGGAACATGTTCACCTACAATTCAGTAAAACCTAAAATGTGGGAAACTACAGGACAAACTGTCCAGTTCCTGCAATAACAAATTTCAAGGGGTTAAAAAAGAAGAACCTGTCAGTTAAAAGAGCCATAGGAGACAGATCAATCTTGTTTGGATATGACTCAAATACACCAATGGTGGGGAAAAAACAAAACAAAAAACTGTAAGATAATTGGAGAAATGTAAAAACTGACTGAATATTTGATGATATTAAAATAATTACCATTAAGTTTTATAGACATGAAATTGGTGTCCTGGTTTATAAGAGTCTGTATCTCTTAGAGATGCACACTGAAATATTGTAGATAA